GCATATATCCGGGAGGGCTTTTAAGCTGAATGAAAAAATAAAAAACAGTTTTGCATATGCGTTTTTTTTATACTCATTTCACTCTAAACTTGAAATGGAGCTTATATCCGGGGGGCTGTTTTAATGGTAGTAGAATTTTGCTCACAGGTGCATGGGTCTGTAACTGGAGGGGCTTATACGGGGGAAGGCTTATAAGCGGCAGTTTACGGTATGTGGCATTCATTGTCAACAGACATTATTAGCGCCATATCTTGTTGGAGTATCAGCGTTAATTAATATCGCAGTCTGCTCTCCCTCTTTGTTTTTGTTGATAAAATATTTTCTGACTCTCTTCTGCTCAATGAAGCCGCTCTTGGGAAACTGTTTGCGTTTGGACGTTACATATTGAACAAAGCCGCCAAGTAATGCTAAGAACACCCATGTTGCCGACAAGATGTAATCTAAGAGAATTAAAAAAAAACTTGTCTCAGTACGAATGAACATTTTAGTGAGAGAAAAATATAGCGTAAACTGACAGTAAAATACCCATGGCGGGCATAGAAATAAGTGTTCCAGTGAGAGCAAAATCAAGTATATAAAACAGAGAATACTTATTGCAGTGATAGAAAAGTTAAGTCTGATTTTCACTAGCGACGCAAGCGCAAGTACAAGCGACGCAAGCGAGAGCACAAGCACAAGCGGATGCACAACAATTCTTATTTCACCGTGAAAACGGCCTTGACGCAGGCATACGCACAAGCGCAAGCAAAAGCACAAGGATCAAATTTTTTTCGTTTTCTTGTGCTTGCGCGTATGCTTGCGTTTGCGCTGCAACAAGAAGACGAAATGCCGCTCAGGCATAACACAAGCAAAAGGGTATTTACCACACGTGGTTATGTTTGGCCAATGAAAACACTGGATCCAGATTGCCTCGCGCCTAAACAGTTCGGAAAGTTCGGATGATTTTGCTTGTACTTGTGTTTGTGTCGAATTTCGTTTTCACTTGGGTCATCCCTATTGCTAGCGCTTGTGCTTGCGTCGCTAGTGAAAACCAGGCTTATGAGTGTACACGAAATACACGATGTTGTGAGGAAGACCAAGGGTAAACAGAAAATATGTTCCAGTGAGAAAACGAAGATGGAGTTTAAACAAGAAATGGCCCATCGAATGAGATTTATAAAGTCACCTTGTGTACAAGTAAGGCTGGGCACAAATAAACTGCATCAGGGGTGTGCTCCAGAAGCACCCAAAAAAACATTCACTAACAGGCAACTAACTTTTGCCTATGGGCGACTGGAAAAACTCATTTTTTCATGTAAGCTCAAGTGCTGGGCACCCAGGATTTCCTGGTCAGGAACCTTTGAGCTCTCTCAAATTTTGTTTACACCACAGCCTTGCTGCACGTACCAAAGATGTTTTCTAAAACTAGAACAATTCTTAGCTGCACTTTTTCGGTAGCCTGCTTCAACAAAACAACAGCCCTGAGGGCTTTCACAGCACTACATGCTACGTAGAGCTCAGAAAATTCCAAAAATGAAAGTAAATTTCATACTAACATACTAACCATTTTGTTGGAATGGCGTGGTGACGTATATATGGTCATGGCGGTACTGCGGCTTTGTGGCATGTAGAATCACATTAATCACTATATAGGAAATACTCGTGTGTATGAAGAAATCGATACCTGCCAAAATGAGTGAGACAAATTTTACATAGAAAAATAGGAAAACTGGGGAGCGGAGAGGGGCGCAAACAGTAGCAAAATGATTGGCGACAGGTGTTCTTGTGAAAAGAGAAGAACATTTCTGTTCACAGGTCTAAGATTCTCACGAAGTAAAATAAATTGATTGTAACTGACTCGTTTAGCTTTCTTGTAGCTTGTATCGGTTTCTGTTTTATAAATATATTGTACGTCAGAAGAACAGCTGCCACCATTCTATTTCTGCCATTTGCACCACTCTCTGTTCCCCCAAAATTATCATTATTAAATAGCAGCATCATACCGGATAGCTGTATTCATAACTGGAACTAACATAGTAAATCAATCAGAACACAACGTTGACTGGTATATACCAAGAATTGGACCGTAACGGAGGTCAAATCAGGGTTATTACAAACTTACCCACAACAAAAGCATATGCAGATACAACTGAAGTGTACACAATACAAAGCTGAAAAAGAATGTTCAAGATCTGTTAGTGGTATGGTTAACTGAAGAAAACATGTTCTGTGTGAATAAAAACTACGACTAATCATGTCTTTTTGGCACGCTTAGGTGGCATATTAGGCAGGTTTCACTTTGGCAGAGCCATGGTTTGTACCTTGGCGATTTGAGCCAACATACCCTTGCCCAGACCAAACTAGTAAAATTTGGCCAAGAATTACAAGTATGGTAGACAAGGCTTCTTATTGGCTGTTTGCAAATTTGGGCATGACAAACATAGAATCGTGTTGCGACATTGTAACTTCAAAAGATGCCCTGTCTCAAGATCTTTAATGTATGTGAAAAGCAAGACTGGACTATTACACAAGAAATTAGTGACATGCAATTACTTATTATAATTGATTCACTCTGTTTTGCCAGAAAATACTGAGAGATTAAATCAGTAGAAACCTTACCAAGCGAGGCCAAAGTATTAAAATCACTGGTACAACTATGGTACAAGCACAGAGTATCGCTCCATAGTCAAAATCACTTGACTGAATCATGTCCAGGTCTCCTGAAAATTACACATAAAATAAGTACAGAGTTAATGAAAATCAGCCTGAGATTGTCAAAAGAGTGACTCTAATAAATAATTCTGCCACTACCCTTCTCTCGAGAGGGTTAAAAGAGTTAGTGCCATGTGCTTTGTCCATGGCAGTAATGAACTAGTCATATTTACAAGGGTGGTTTAAAAAAGTGTTTCACCGCAATACCATAAACTTGTAAACCAAATAGCACATCNCTAGCTTTCCTTGTTTTGAATTTGTTTTGTTATGTTTCAAAGCTTAAGTTTTCTCCTTAGTTTTAGTTTTGATTGAAAGGATTACTCAAACACTCAAGACAGTGTTTGACCACATTTCCAAACACCTTGAACTTCGTCAAAAATACTCTGCTATGCATCATATTTTCAACTCTCTTCTCAGCGTTTGGAAACGTTGTCAGACAGTCTTTTGTGTTTGATCTATTATGTCAAACATTGTCTTGTGTGTTTGATATACCTTCTCAATTGAAATTAGAATTAAAGAGACAAGTTTGAGAAGACAGTAATGAAATATTGATTACGAGGACCATTATCAAGGAAACTTCACCGTTCAATTCACTCACCAAAAGGTGTGAACATCAATGTGGCTCCGACCAAGAATCCAAGAAACAGAGCATTGAAAAGGAGGCAAAGCCTTGTCCACTCAGTGAACCACCACAAGGCAAACACCATCAAACCAAGCAACATGCCTATTCCAGAACTTGTCAGCATTACACCTGTGAGTGATTTAAGCATTTATAAAAAAGGGAGAAAAGCAGTAGATTCTTGCTTAAGTGGGGGACTGGTGAAATTTTAACAATACAGTTTCCTAATATTTTGTTGTTTTGGACATTTTCAAGGCAAAAGTGAAAATATTGAGGTGACACGGATTTAAATAAGTGAAAAACATAATTTACATTTTTGGGCATGTTGATATAAAATTATATCAAATAACTTAACGCAAACAGAATCTGCTTGCATGTCCAATGATGGTTTGCATTCTTTGACTCTCAGCATTTTGTAAATGAGACATTCAAATTTGCCTTAGCACTTTTTGAGGACCAAAAAAAGTCGGAAAATAAAATAAAATGGTAAAGGCCACTCCTCTTAGTTGGCTCAATTTGACTGGAAAATGTTGTACAACAGTTACATGTAGTCACACTGGTCAATGTGATATAATGGAAAGAACCCAGGGCTAGTCTTTGGGAGCCTATCTACACACAGGTGGTTAGAGTACAAGGAAAGAGTTACTGGTAAGTGTGTTACCCAAGAGATTTTGTTAGCGCTGGTGAACTGTTTCTAAAGGCAAACTGACAGAATACTGGGGGGGGGGGGGGGTTANGCCAAAAATTATGCTAGCACAATCTATTTGAGCCTACACTCAGGTGTATAAATGAGTACCGGCGAACTTAATGCTAGGGATAACTCTGCAATGGACAAGCATCCCATCCAGGGGGGAGTAGAAATACCCCTAGTCACTTCATGTTACAGAAACACTGATGCTGACGTGGTTCCTTTGGAAGGTCACACAACACTCCTCCTTTCTCCTTTCTTTGGGCAGCATTGCGTGACATCCCAAAACATGGCAGCAGAGGAGACTAGTGCTGATGAGGCCTTATCTAAGGGTGCGTTCCTTTGGGGTGATCTGGAGATCTCACGATCAGTGATCCAAGATTACTCGGATGCACCATGATCTGGGTGATCTTGGATCACTAATCCTGATCCAGATCACCCCAAAAGAACGCACCGTAACTACACAAATATGTCAATTTTGTGGGAGAGTGTGACCAGATGACTTTGTGGTATGTTACACCAAGCAACCTCTTCTGCAACAAAATTCATTTGATACAAGTTTCACAAAACACCACCCAGTGTGGAAAAAAACGTTTTAATGCACAATGAGAAAATAGACCCTGGCAGGTCATAATGTTAATGATTTAAAAACAAACATTTATCGACTCTTCTACTCACCTAAATGGCTAAGATCACTGTTGGCAGAGATAACAATGAAAACTAAAAAGGAAAAATTCACAAATCCTCCGAAAAGTAAAGCTGAAAGAAAGTGCACAAAATGAAATACTGTTCAATACATAGTCCCGATATAGATCAATAGTAAGTACAGAGTTCATATTTAAATACTGTAGCCACTACAAAATGATTGTTTGGAATGTTTGTAACACTTATGACAATGGTGAAAGTTAGGCTGAATACAATGTTTCTTTGTTGAAAATGTGACTACTTTTCCCCTGAAACTTACATGTAGGTGTATTGGTGTCATCTGCATGACAATAATATTGTATTGAACCAGTTCATAGTCATGCATTTCCCTTTTCTCAAAAATTCCTGACAGAAATGACCATCTCTCCTCAACAGCTATTCTACCCGCAGGGAAACAGTGGTAAAGAAGTTCAGTCGACAGTACATAACATTATTTGGAATTAACCAATTGAAAAGCTTGTTACTCACTAAATTTGAAGAGCCGGAACCCAAATAAACAGAACACTAAACCAATGATGCTTCCTAACACAGCAAATATGGCATCAACTACACCAGCTGTAAAACAAACAAGATGCATGACAATTTTAATATTTTCTTTTTTGGTATTAGCCTTTCAACTGTACACAGCGATCAATATCTCAGTTCTTCCTAAAATATTAGGACGCTGAAAGATAACAAGTAAGGAGAATAGCGAAAATCTTCAGCCTTTAGAATATCCTGAAAAGAAATCAAGTACAACCTCTCTGCACCAGCCCTTCAACGTACTTTTATTCATCTTCAAATTGATATGAAAAGTTAATTAAATAGATACTATAAAGTACTATGTAATGTATAAGTATAAAGTAAAGTCACACACTTTAGAGAAACTAACGTTTTGAATCATTGCCAGCATAGGTTACGGCTGGTGAGTAGGCAGCCTCCATTTGATTTGTTGGATCAAAAACTATCACATTGTACACCACGCCCTGGCCAACTTGATGAGTGTCAAATTTCAGCCTTGGAATGGTTGGTGCCTTGAGAGTGGCAACCTACATGAAATAACAGAAACAAAATATCCATCTTTGGTTAATGCTATTAATTTTATTGTTTGGTATCTAGAACCTCCCTGAAAGCCACAGAGTAATAAGTGGAGTATTCTGCATTAATTTAAATACATAAATTCCAATCATTATCAGTTATCACTTGCCCCGCTATTCATGATGTTAAAATATGAAACTATACATTCAAATTAACATTGAAAGTACCTTGAAACAACAGAAATAATTAAAAAAATTTTTTATCTTTATCATAACCTGGTTTCAGTCAATACTGGGCTGTGATTTCTATCCAACATACAAGCAGGAAATAGCCCTCCAAAACATGTCTTGCCAAACTTAGGCCAAATTTCACAGGTCCTTCCATCTCAAATGTTTTCAAAACAACTTTGTAGAGTCTTAATTTCTGTTATAAGGCCAAGAAAGTCTTGTGCTTGCAGAAAAAAATCTTACTTTCGCCGTCTCACAGAGCCTCAAACTGACCATTTCCTATGGTAGTACAGTGGAACCTCCTTAATCTGGTCACCAATGGGCCACAAATATCTGGCCGTGTTAACAGGGTTGCCATATGAAAGGGGTTATTTAAATGAGAAAATGACTGAATGAGCCTTTGTTCGGGCCAGAATAAAGTGGCTATAATAACGAGTAGGACCTATTAACAGGGTGGCCATAAGGTGGGGTTCCATTGTACAACCTGAGCTACAGAAGACTACTCATTGTACACAATTAAAGTTCATTACAGCAAACTGACCTTCTTCCCATGGGTTTTGATCACATCAGGGTACGCCATTTTTTCCATACCCCTAAAAAATGTCTCCTCTGAAGTGTCACCTTCAGCAAGAAACATGATGTAGATATGGTATTCTAGACGGTAATGCTCTGGTGATTTATCAGGATGTAGCTTGTTTCCATCACATGGTACACTCTTGCTAGCATTGGCATATCTGCGCAAATCAAACAAAAGAAATTATAACTCACTACTATAAAGGGACCAAGAGTTTCAGTGAACTACCAATCTTCAAGATTTCTATTTAGCAAAAGTTAAAGTGAACAATTTTACTAATTTTGTACGCCTTTTTTACCTATTTTTACCTTTTTTACCTTGTTTTCACTATAGTTTCTCTTACAGGACCCCTCTGATGACAGTGTTGAACACACTGATGGGTCATACTGTTTAAATATTCATTGTTATTATTATTATTACATATAAAAAGGGGCCATACCATACATTGAGAGTCAAACTTGAACAAAATTTGAACATAAATACAAGTTACAGGATGGGAGGTAATTGTTATTTAATAACAATTCTAATATTCCTTTCTGTAAATATTATTAACAAGTTATAGTATTAAACTAGAGGTAAACTTGGGGTTTTCACATCTGCTGAAAGCAGGATCACTGGAAATGTTGGACTTACATTTACGAAATAGAAAACATGGACTGTGTTTCTATCTGGTTATAGCAACACAAGTGGAATTTTGGGAGAACGAGAAGTGCCGTGTGAACATGAGCTGCAGGCGAGTGTTTCCACAGCTTTTTCAAGTTCTCCCAAACTTTCACGAGTGTTTCTATAACTCTATAGAAACACAGAAAACATGTTTTCTATTTCTGTTAGAAAACACCGCGACGAAAAAAAGGAAAACAACTTGTTAACTTTGATTATCAAAATGTAAATTCTCTTTGCTCGCGCCATCATTACGTCAACAGCTCGTGCTAGTTCTGCGTTTCTATCGAGTTACAGAAACACTATTTTTAACCAATCAGTTTGCATATTTTCTTAGGGCTGTTTTCTAATATTCTTCATTTAAAATAAGTTAGAATACACCTTATTCCAAAATGGCCGCCATTTAAGAAATTTCTTTTGTGTACTTGCAAATTAGCTCTTGTTGCCTCGTTCTTAAACTCGAAATTCAAAAGAATATTTTCCCTTAAACGAGGCAACAAGGGCTTATTTTCAAGTAAGCAAAAGAATACTAAAATGGCAGCTATTTTGGAATAAGGTGTATACTCTGGCCATTTTGAGCACATATGAATTACATGTGATTTGTGAAATAGTACATGTTTGTTTAAAGTATGACAAAAAAAACAGACCTTCCATAATACACATTGGCAAATGAGAATGTTACATTTGTCTCAACTGCATCATAGGAAATCACAATATTTGGATCTAACTCCATGTTACATGTCAGGCAACAACCACCAGGAAATGGAGCTACAAGTAAGAAGAGAAGAGAAAACATTTATCAACTTTGTAAAAACAAAATGTTCATATTACATAGTTTATTATTATATGGCAAGGTAGTCTTGAGGTTTATCTGTTACACAATGTAAAATATGTCACACCTTTGCACTAGCATGACACCATTTTCAAGTTCAAAAAGATAAGAAAAAAACTGTCAGAAAAAGATTACCATATTAAATAATTAATTAATATGCAATGTTATGCAAATAATTTTGCTCAGATTGAGTCTGATATTTGAACGTTGAGAGATGGTGACAAGTCTCTAATTAGTAAACATTTCATGTACTAAACAATCAAACATATAATTTGTGGCACTTCTTAAGGATGGTAAACTATTTGCCAAGGTCTTTCAGGACAGTACAGTGTTTGTCTCTACAGTGCTTGCCGATAGAAGATGGTGACTGGTTCATACATTCATCCACGTGCTGGTGAAATGCCTCAGTGCAATGCCCAGCATAACTTGCATTGCACAAGTACCATTGAAATTTATAGACTGCACAATGCTGATTTACAAAAGGTGGCTTTTTCTCTTGTGCTTTAAGAACTTGCTGTTTAAAATCAAACTCAAAACATGAATTTGTAAATGGGCAATTCTGTCACGCCGACAAATTCTCATGAATTGAATGAGCACAAAAAGTGTAAATTTAGCTCACCTCCATTTGTGTATGGTACAGCTATTATATCAGCTTCAAAACTGTGATCCTTATTTTCAGACCTCAAATAGAAAGGATAATATTGTACAACATATGGGAATAGCTTCAGAACTGCAACATCTGATCCCTTGTCTGAAGAATCATATGAAAATTTGGGATCCAAAGATAATGATACATTGTATTGCTTCACATGAACTTGACATATGGCAAATCTCCATGAGAACACGGGGGTGTAGAGGTCCAAGGTCAATGTCACAGATGGATCAAGTGTCCTTCTTTGTCCCTTGTTTGGTTCAAGTCGGAGGTTATCCACAGACCCTATAACAAAACAGTAAATAAATATCAATACTCCTTACTCTTGGAAAATCATTTCTGTCTCTCTTGGCATACGCAATCATCAACACGGGGTATAAAATAACCCAAAGAAAATATGTACGCTCATTGAATTGGTTTAAAATTGTGTTACTATAACTAAATAGAAGCACAGAACTAGTACGAGCTGTTGAGGTGACGATGGTGCCAGAAAAGAGAATTTACATATTGATGATCAAAGTAAACAAGCGAGTTTTTTTCATTGTGGAATTTTCTAAAAGAAATAGAAAACTCAGATAACTCAGATAACTGTAATAAAAGGGAACAAATGTTATGTGCCAAGAAAGAACAAATCGTAACATGCTGAGGTAATAGCTGAGAAAGATAAAGTTGGATTAACAACAATGGACCAAAATCTTCAGAATAAAAGTTTCAAGATACACTTTCTCAGACTGACTATAAGATCATAAAAAGTAAGTTTAACTAATCTTCTTAGAGAAGGCCATGACAGACATTGATCACATTAAGAATACATTGAGCTTGACTGTTCGAGCCAAAGTGATAAGCATTGCTATAGTGACAAAGATATTGCATAGCTATTAATATCTAGCGTGAAACCTAACTGTACATGTGAATCAGGTGACCAAAAAACGTCAGCTTCCAAAAGTACACCTGTTTTACAGTGCACTGCAAATTATTAATTAAAAAGAAACTTTAAAAGATAGCTTATTTCATGGTAAGTAAAGGAGCAGGGAGAGATACGTGAAGAGACTGACAACCTTACAAGGATTTCTTTTTAAATGGGAAACAATTACATTGTTTTACACTATCAATCAATGTAAGCTCACAATTAAGCTTACATAAGCTTATTAATCATGCGTGCCTTGACGAAAGCGCAAATTTTGACAAGCAATTTAGCGTGTATAAAATATACACAAAGTTCCCAAGAGTTTACGAAAAGGAAAAGCTAAAAACACACACGAGGAACATTACGAGAACGAAACATTGAAATTAAATGTAAATACGACGAGAACGTTCATCACTTTTGACCGACTGACGGATCTCGCGTGATAGAGACTCAACTCAATTCGATCAATGTTTCCTTACCTGCAAAATTCTGCGAAAGAAAACATACTACGTGGAAGATGGATACTAAAAAAGATTTTCTTTCTCGTGACATCAAGGTAAACTTAAAAGAACTTCACAAAACAGGCAATCCACAAATACCGAAAAGAACATATGACAGTCACAGCCTTCGAGCCGACATTTTGTTTTTATTCTACAGACAGCAAGGCACACTGGGAGAACTTATCCTACCTGCAAAAGAGGCTGATTTCTTGGCTTCTGATTGGCTAGCATCCAACGGAAGCAGGAATTTCAAACTGTGCAGCGTTCATGATCAAGTGTACGACGCACGTTGGTTCGAACACTTTGTTAAAACGTTTAGTTTTCTTGCGATCTGGTACAGAACCACAAAGATCTGCAGGTGAATGATGTCTTCAAGTGAACGTGAGTCAATTCTGCCTTGTTTTAAGTCATTGCTTATCTAAAAGGTCGAAAATTTACAGCAAAAGGAAAACGCCGAGCGGCCATAAGCTGCCATCTCAAATGTGACTAAATCAAGATGAGCCAGGTTATCTGTTTCATTTCAATTTCGAAATTTGTATTCAAATTTTTGGACTGATCCTTTGTAGCCAGTTTTAGGTCTTTGATGGGGTTCAGGTCAGGTAGAAACACATAGTAGCAAGGATCTATACTATTGTTTTTGTTCAAACAGCTTGCCGTGGTTTACCGTTACAGCCATGCCTCAATGCTTTACGTAAACACATGGTGTAAACGTTCTTTTAGACAGCTAAGTCACTATTCTTGTTTTGATTTATACCTCCACTATGACTTGAAATCTTCCACTCGTAAACTTCTAAACTCAGCCAGTTGTATAATTTAACTTTTATTCTTCTCTAGTCAAGTTTTGTTTGCATTGTTCTCAACGACTGTTTTCCTGGCTTTTATTTAATTTGGGTTTGCAAGGCTAGGAGTGCGTTCCTTTGGGGGTGATCTGGATCTCATCAGGATCAGTGATCCAAGATCATTCAGATCGTGGTGCATTAGGAACCAATGAATCCACTCTAGTCATGGATTCATCGCGTCCTTTGATGCACCATGATCTGAGTGATCTTACATCACTGATCCTGATTCAGATCAGCCCAAAGGAACACACATTAGATCTCAAGCAGATGAACTAAGCAATATGTTCCAGGGTACTCCTTTTATGACAAACAGAGTGCTGTCATTATCAACTTGGGAAAAATAAAGTTACTTATCTTTTGTTATTATCATATTTTTTGTTGATTACATAGGACGCCCAGGTACCTCTCTTGATGAAAGCTTGACTAACATGCAGTGGCTGTGCAAACTGGATTCTAATCCACTGCTGGAGACTCAAAAGTCAAATGATACAACAACTTCTGAGACAACGTCAATGAATCCACACCCAAAGCCCCCTTACTCTTATGCAACCCTTATTCTACTTGCTATTAACAGTACACAAGAGAAACGTATGACGCTACAAGACATATACAAATGGATTGAAGATAACTTCCCCTATTATAAAAATTGCAAAAAGGCATGGAAGGTAACTAACTATACATACATATAATGATTGAAGTGTAATCAAACAGTCCTACATGTACATCTGTTTGTGTTTATAATATAAATAAGAGAGTTGAGAAAATAGATACTGATTACTCGCTGAGGGTTGATAGTTCTGTTTTTCGAAAGAACGAGACCAAAATATACTAATGCTACAACGCATCACTGTTTTTGTTTTCTCCTTTTACAGAACTCCATTCGCCATAACTTGTCACTCCACAGCTTTTTCCTCAAAGCTCACAGACCTTCCAGTCTGCCTGGTAAGGGTAGTTACTGGTGCATATCACCAGAAGGGAAGGAAAACATAATGAAAGAAGTTATGAAGCATCAACAGCCCCTCATGAACCAAACTGTGACCATAGATCAATCAAATACAAAAGGCTTGCGACCTATTCTGCCCAAACCTGCCGACAATGTGCCCATGTCAAGCCCATTCTCAAACAAGGGAGGTGTTCAAATTATAACGGACGGAAGCCTCTCTGGATTGCCCAGTAGTATACCAGTTGTAATCTTACCAACACAGATTTATATGAACATGGCAAACAAAATAGCAGCCCAAGCTGGGATAGGAAATATGGCTGCCGTTGGTGTAAATCCAAGTTATGTTCCTGTGACGTCAGAAACATCAATTGCAGAGAGTGCTACAGAAGCTCCACAAGTACAAGGACCTCAAGGACTTGGACAAGAAAGTGATAGCGGCCTTGCGGGAACAATTTCTACCGAGGAGGAAGTGGGATCTGGATGTTCATCTTCTCTAAATCAAAGAGAGCAAAACATCAGCCAGAGCAGTGCCTTGACTGTGACAGTGGAACAAGCCCTTTGCAATATTGAAGACAGGGAAAATGAACTTATATCAAATGGTTGCACCACAAGTAAATCAACTAGCAGCAGGAAAACCTGCAATAATCCCTCTTTGAGTGAAGATAGAATCGAAAATGAAATGTTGGCTCCACATGCCAAGAAAACAAGAATGGACAAAAGGAAAACAAAGCCTGGCAACGGGATCAAGACATCTACAACAAGTTTTCAAAAGAGGCAAAATTTACCTCAACCCAGACGATCTCCACTACGACCACGCCCACAGCCTACCTTAGCAGCCATCAATTCACAAGCCAATGAGATGACATCACCAGGACCTATGTTTAATAAAAACAATACTAGTGACATTACATGCCTATCACCAGTTAAACCAATGATAACCCCCACCAAGGCCTGCACCAACCAGAGCTTTCTGGCTTCTCTTTTGGTTTCACCTCTGAATTATGGTAGTGGTCACCTGGGGTTCACTCCCCTGAGCCATGGCTCAGACAGTGGGTTTTTCACACCACTCAAGGATGGGGAGTTTGATTATGGATTTCTGTTTTCTCCAGAGAGATTTAGCATCAGCAAGGCGTGCAGTACACCGCAGAGTTGCCGGAAGTCATTAGGTCTTGGCTTGGCCAACAAGAGTGAAGATAAAAAAACTGACGCTCAATGCAGTGGGTATGATATGGATTTCACAAAACTTTAACTTGATTTTATTCATTAAAATAATATTCTCGACTGTAAAGTACCTATTTCAGTACCTGCCAACAAATTTTCTCCTTGGGCTTTTACAACAATTTTCAATAGTCAAGTGCAGCAATTCAAAGGAATAGGCTATATTACTCTGAATTCTTAGTTTTCTTTGTCAGATAAAGCTGACTGTCAGTACCCATGAAAAAGAAATATTTGGGTCTTTTTCATGAATTTTTGAAATTCCCAGGGAAGAAAATGTAGCTATATCAGTGACAGTGCACAGCTGTATAAAAAATGTACAATGTGTATTAAATTATTTTAGAAAAATTAATATATGATATTATTCTAGACACATCAGATATTGCTCTCTGATCTTTCATACTAGTTTCATATAAATTTACTCACTTGCAAACTATATTTTTGTTGACTTAATATTTTGTGCAAATTTTACTCTGTGTGAAATAGTTCTCTTTTCTTTTAGCTCTGGAGAACAACAACTAAGTGTGTATTTCTAAACTAAATATCTTTGCTAATTATTTGGAGATATTTTATATAATTATAAACTGGGATTTCTTGTTGAAGTGTGAAAAATGTATTCATCTTAGATAGAAGGAAAAACAAGTTCTGGGGTGCTGATCAAATGAAAACATTTATAAATTGACGAATTCTGTCAACGGTAGTACAATTTCTATGGTAACATTTATCATACACAATAGCTTGTGAATGGCCCAATGTAATGAGTATAATTTTACAATAATGGAAACAGTGCGATTCTCATACTGTACTGGTAGTTTTTCTCTCTATTGTGATTATCATTCATTACTCCCATTACTTCTGATCAATATTTTTTCAGAATCTTGTGTGACAATATTACAACAAAGCAAGCGGTTGTACGGAAACATATGAATAAAAGTTCAGCCAAGTGGCATGACTAATTTGTCTGGATTTCGGGCGTCCTAGCACAATTTACGCTTACGATAAGCTTACCTGCTTAGCTTTTTCCACAGCATTGTCGTCTCACTTCAGCAGATCGATTTAAACTTCAATCTCATGGCGGGTCACACATGCGGTCCACTTTCTCACGCTTAGGGTTTTTTTTTTGTTTTGTTTTTGTTTTTCCGCAGAAAAGCAAATTAAATTGACCCGCTTTCCGAGAATGAAGGCGCGAAAGAGCCTGGGAATGAAAGCGCGGGAATGTTTATAACGCCACACAGAGCCGGCCATTTCGATCCTTTGTTAGCCTGTCTTGTCAATACTCCTCTTTGTAAAAAAATTAAAATGATTGAAAATAATCAATTTTTTAATGTTGTTTGTTTCTATTTTCTCTAAAGGTTATATACACTCGATCATGTCGGGGCTCTCAGGCACTCGCTTTTTTCACGCCTGCCCACCCCGGCACGATGATGAACAACATGGCCCAACAGTTTTAACGAGTTCTCACGTTCAAAACTTTCTGTCTTTTCCTGTGACAAAGCAAAATATGAAGACAATCACAAACGATCACAACATTGGCGCGTTTGACCACCCTTTGCGACATGTTGGGTGTTGTTAGCCCAAATTTGACCATTTTCAAGCCTAGGCCAAACGATCGCAGCATTTCAACACAACATATCGCAACATGTTGGGTGTTGTTGGTCCAAGTTTGAAAATGGTCAAATTCTTCATTCAACATGGTGAAAGTTGCACGATGTCGTACTCGTTTGGATTCGTGCAACAATGTTGCGCCAGGGCATGCGCACTAGCTTGACTTGAAAAAAAGAGAAGAACGACGGGATGGCCACGGCGCGCAACATGTTGCGCCCAACATTACATGCGACAGGTTGCGTTGAAATGTTGCGATCGTTTGGCCGTGGCTTTTTACTGAGAAATGCTGAACAGTGGTGAGCCATTTTCTAGGTCTCTTCTACTGAAGTATCTTGTAAGGTCGTTCCACGAAAAAAGTCATATCGTTCCCTCTAGATCATTCCATAATATATATATATATATATATATATATATATATATATATATATATATATATATATATATATATATATATATATATATATATATATATAT